TAAAATAATATTCATGTTTTAAAATCTGTTTTCACATTCAGTCTGGAAATTTATATTTTTACACTAAAAACTTTGTTCTGCTGATATTTTCCTAATTTGATTTGATTTGGTCGTCCCTCTTCCTTTCTTCCCATTGTGGTAAGATTCTTGAGAAAAGTTGTTTTCTCCTTCTTGCTCTTTGAGGCCCGAGAGCCTCAGGTTCTGTTAAGAAATAAAATACTATTTAACCAAGAGCTTCAGGGGCCCCATAAACACTAATATTTTAAAACAGACTACAGATACATAAATGTAACACTTATTTATTAAGATTATCAATGCTGTTAAATTTTATTTAATGAGCAGTGCTCGGTCCACCAGCACCAGCCCTGAACGTCTACCGTCTAAATCACATTTCATGTTTTTCCACTACATACAGGCTTCCAGCTCTTTAAGTTCTTTAGGGTCAAATTAAAAGTACACACACAAAATAAACGTTCACTAACTCACAGACTAGTTAAGTTCAAATATGCTGACATCTGAAGCCGCCGAATGGCGCAGCTAATTACAACTAGCAAATGTGTTCAAAGCAAATAACTGATGACACTTCGACGTTCAACACATCCACTGTTTCAAATTAAATGTAGAAAAAGTCATTAATATTTTTATACCGTTTAAATAATATTTTTTCATAGTGGGTAGCATACTTACTGTTTCATCACAATCCGGTGGACAGTGTTGTACTTCTGCAGCGGATCTCCTGTCATTTCCACGGGAGTCTCTGGACTCTTCGTCATTGCAGAATCTGTACCTCGTGAATGCATCTTTGCAGAAGTATCAACTTACTTATGAAAATTAATAGGAGACAGGAGACATTATCAATTTAACTGGGAGCCAAGCTGTCCTGCTCTGTGGCCGAAAACAGGCCGAAAAGAAGCAAGGAGGCTCCGCCTTTATTGTCTTTATAAGCGCGTAACCTTCCGCTTCACAAAATAGTGCCAATACAAATAGTGACAAGCATCGTATTCAACACCCCCACTTGATGATGCCACACATTCTAGCCATAACACTATTTTCCAAACATATAAGAACAAATTTTTTTAATCTTGGCTCTTGTGACAGATTTTGTGAACACATCTATATTTTCTATTGGACAGTAAACCAAAACAATTTTACCCTGCAAAACATTGGACTTTAAGTGGCATTTAATGTCCACATGCTTGCTCCTCTGGCGATTCACAGGGTTCTTTGCCAGGCGTACTGTCCCTTGGTTATCCTCAAACACCTTTGCAGTTTGCTCATAACTGTGGTCCATGACCTGAGATAGATAGAGCGCTTCTGCTGATGCTACATACTCAGCCTCACATGTTGACAATGAAACCGTCTGCAGCTCCACGTGGACTTAAACTAAAGCAATAGCCTTGAGCATTTGAGAAATTTATCTTCAGTTATTTTTATTTGTTGTTTTTGCCTGCGGGGGTCGCCTTTCTGCACTCTGCCTCGTTTGCGTCTCCTGGGCTTCCGTAGCTCCGTCCAGCCCTCAGCTTGTTCTGCCTGTAAGTCAGAGGAAAGTTCGCTGCTGCGATATACGTTTGTTTTCTGTACGGATGTTGTTGGTTATGTTGAAGTTTTACCATATGATTATTGTTGTTTGTTAATGTGTTATTTTGCAGTTTTGAGCATCATTGTGGGTTTTATAATCAGTTTTATTATAATTTTCTTTTTTTTATTTTGGCCAGCAGTTCGGTTGAACATTGTTTTATTTTCACATTTAGGCTGGAGTGCAGGGAGAGTTGAAGAGGAGATTGATTTGTTTTTTTACTCTTCTCCCCCAGAATAAAAGATTTCATGGTTGAATTCTGGAGACTCATTTATACCATCCGTTACATTTGTCAGGTTTAAACTCTGAGTGAGACCAGACCAGAGCGGTTCTGGATGAAATGAGTCAACACCAGGCGTCAGGAAGCTGTAAAACTAAACTAAACACCATGATGGACTCAGCCATGCATATCACAGACAGAAGGTTCATAAAGTCACTGAAAAAGTTTGCGTTGTGTTTGAGGTCTGTAGTTATTTGGAAACACGACTTTTACCTGCAACCAGATATTCAGACGTCCAGGAACATTTTTTACATCAATGAGTCATAAAATAAGATCAATTAATTAAATTATTTTCCTGAAAAAGATCTAATGTTTAATGAAGGCCAATGTTTGTTTCATTTAACAAACTAAATTAAAGTGAAACATTAAAAAAACCTTAGAGATCAGAAATGAGATGAATGACATCAGACTGAGGCTGGCCAATCAGAGCCCTTTTTTACTCAGCTTCATTTTTATTATTTGAAAAAATATTTTCATGATTTTAGGATTTTTTTCTGAATCAGAGGCACATGTTTATTGTCTTTATTGCTTTTCATACATTAGGAGTAAAATTAATCATAAATACAACAAACCAATATCTAGGAACTAAATACCTTTGTTTTAATGCCTGAATGAACGTTTTATTAATTCTACAGGAACGTAATAAATATAACTGCTGAATGCCTGAACATTATATAATCAGATTATTAACTTCATAAAGAAAGCAGCAGATCTTCTTCTCTCAGACTGACGTTGGATTTTTCTCCTTCAGTTTGTGGAAAACGTTTCCGTCCGACTGTTTCCTCCAGCTCAGCTCCACGTCTGCATTCAGTCCTTGTTTCAGCTTCAGCAGCAGCTGGAAGAGGAAGAATGATCACATTTATGCAGATTCATGTTCAGGCTCTTTCTGCAGGAGGAAAACCTGTGACTGATGGAAATCATCTGGAAAACTCTCAGCTGGACCATCAGCTGCGTTTCTATTCACCAGCACAAATTAGAGTTATGAAAACAAACACACTTAAAGCTGCAGAATGTCCTCACTGTTTGTTATGAGACATAATCTGTAAAAAAAATCAATCTCCTCTGTTTTCTCCCATTATTAAGTACAAACAACCAATCAGAGCCAGGAGGCGGGGCTTACCGCTGTCAATCACCTTCTGTTCCTGCTTTCCCTTTCTTGGTCTCTGCTTCTCTGCAGCTAGCATAGCTTGTCATGAATGCTAAGGCTAGTTAGCATAGCCAATGACAGCAGATAAATGGTTTTCCTGTAACAGTAAGTTGTTTCTCCGCCATTAGCACATTTAGCAGTGAGTACATGAGATTGATTAACAGCGCTAAGCCCCTCCTTCTGGCTCTGATTGGTTGGTTTTGGTGCATTTCTTCAGACAGTAGCAGCTCAGAGAGGAGGTTGATCTATTCACAGAACAAACTGTTACAACATGCTGACAGATTTAACGAATAAACATTTTATAAAAGTTACTGCAGCTTTAATGGGAACATGGAAATTTAATAAAGTTTTTGTTGTCATTTTTCAGCCATATTGAAATTAGTGTATTTCAATAGAAATACTTGTTTAGCATCATGAGTCACATGATCAGTAACCGGAAGTTACTGCTGGTGGAAATGAAGAAGAAAACAACATTTTGAACCCGTTTTGTTGGCGCTGCAGCTCCACCTGCTGGTAGGAAGTGAGATCCACGTACCTGACTCAGCAGCTCTTCCATGACTGCTGCAGAGTTCAGATCCACGCCGGAGGTTTTCTCCAGCTTCACAGACACAACCTTCTGAAAAACAACAGCTTTGACAGCAAAATGGTTGATGAGCGGCAGGCAGAGAGATCAGGAGGAAGAGGCTGAGGAAGACTCACTGCTGGAGCAGATGAAGGCTTTCTCTACGTCACACCGCCAGTCCTCCCATTTCCCCAGAGCGTCAAACGTCGCCAACACACACTTCTCATTCCCGTTGTTGTTGTTGGGCTCGGTGCTCTTCCAGTAGCTGAAGGAGAAGCGGCTCCCAGCCGACCACTTCCAGCCGTCTCGGTACAGTCCGGTCCAGACTTTGGTTCCTGCCGGCACCAGCTGTTGGACCTGCTGGTTCTCGGACTCGTTCCTGATGCTGGCCAAGTCCGAGTGCTGCTTCCTGCAGAAGCTCTGGGCCTCCGTCCAGTTCATCTCAGACTGGACCAGAACGAAACTCACACCGGGCCCTGAAAGCAGAACCAGAAACACAAAAACTCAAGTCTGACGGCTGGGAGACAGAAAAACACCTGTGGCAATTTCTGAACCTGATGACATGAAAATTTGCGACAAAAAATATTTTTTTGTAGATTTATTTCACATATTTTACAGCAAAAAATTTTTTGAGCTCAAAAAGTTTAAAACTTAGCAAGAAAACTCAGAAATTTTTAGATTAATCTCAGAAAATTTCTATGAAAAATTTGGAAATTTTTGATCTCGAAAAGTAGTCAATTTTTTTTTACTTTTGAGACTCTAAAAGTTTAATATCTTCAACTTTATGAGTTCAGAAAATATCCAAGTTTTGTCTAGAAAAATGTTTGACATTTATCTAAAAATTTCTTAGTTTGTGCTTGAAATTTTTTTTTTACTTTTCAAGTTCATAAAATGTCCGCATATTTTTTAATAAAACATGGAAAGGGTTAAAGCCCAGCCCTCACGTGGACGTCACAGGTTCGAGTCCCGGCCTGGTGACGTCTGCCTCATGTTTCCCCTCATTATTTTGATTCACTATCAGATAAAAGCCGCTAGAGCCAATAAATGTTAATCTCAACATTTTTTTCTTGCAAATTTTCAACTTATAAATCTGGAAATTTCTGCATTTTTTCTAGAAAATTTCTGAAATGAATCTCAAATTTTCTGAGTATCTTTCTTACAATTTTTCAACCTATCAAGTTTGGACATTTATAAGTTTTTTCAAGGATTTTTTTTTAGATTATCCTCAAAGTTCGTTTTTTTCCCAAGAGAAATGTTTGACCTTTGTATCTCAGAAACGTCCATATTTTAGTCTGAAACGTGTCGCGGGTCGTACCGGTGATGTTGGCGCAGACGGGCCGCCGGGCGGAGGAACACGGCCCGTCCTGCCACAGGCCTTCCCCGGTCACCATGCCGCAGCGCTCGGTGCTCATCCAGTTGTTCGGCTCTCCGCTCTGCCACTTCCTGAACGAATCCTCCCCGGTTCTGTAGAACCCAGAGTCCGACAGGGACCAGCGCCAGCTGTCCACGTCGTCATACAGTCCGATCCAGGCTCTCTGAAACAACAGGAACGTTCTGATTCACGCAGAGAGAACCGGCTCTTTGATTTCTTTGAGATTCTATGAATAAAAATCAAAACTGAGAATCGTCTCATGGTTTTCATTTTTCTTTCTTCTTTTTTATTTTTTGCAACTTTTCCAATAATTTAAAGGTGATCATGTTGTAATGTTTGGAGTTTTGATCATTTCATTTTTCTGTGCTCTTTAGTCTTTCTTTGATTACACCAGTCTAGTTTTACTTTAGTTCAGTTCTTTATTCTTATGTTTATTTCTTATTCCTTCTTACTCTAGTTTAATTAACTCTAGTTATTCTTTAATAGATCATTTCCTGTCCCCCTGTCCTCTCTCTCTCTGTCCTCTCTCAGTTCATCAGTTCAGGTTTTTTGTTCAGTATTTAAACTTTTCTCCGTCTCAGTGTTCCTCCTGTCTTTACTCTGTTATTTTCTGTTTCTTCTCTGTTGGATTTTTCTCAGTTTGATGGTTTTTGTTCTGCTCTGGCTCCCTGTGGTTTGTAGCTCCTGTCTGTATTTCTCTGCAGTAACATTGAAGGTGTTTTTGGATATTTTCTCCATGATCTGCTTCCTGTTTCTGCTGTGACTTTAGAGGAAGTGTAAGCCGTCATACGTAGCTGTAAGAAGTGTAGACCATGTTGTTCATGACCGCCATCTTGTTCAGTGTCTCCACGTCCTCCATGGTTGCTATGGTAGCCAGGTCTGAGTTCATCCTCCTGCAGTAACTCTGAGCGTCGGCCCAGGTCATCGGCTCATAAACGAAACGATATTCATGAGACGAAGGAGAAGAAACGACGCCTGAGAGACGCAGGCAGAGATTAATCCTCTTCACCGAAACAAAAACTTTTCAAACGTTTCCAAATCATAACAACAGAAAAACTCATTAAAATACAAATCAAATGAATATTTCTGAGTGAAACTTGCCTGCTGCAGCGGTGATGAAGAGGAGCGCCTCCATCCTTCCTCATCTGGTCTCTGCTTCCATCAGAAACTCTCTGCCTCTCGGCTCAAACATCCTGAATTATTGGCAAGTCAAAACCATTCAAATCAGCTGCATTTCCATGAAGAAGGTCAGAAAAGGTCACAACGAAGGTTTCTCCTCTTCCTCCGGATCTCTGTTAAAGTCCTGCTGTTGCTTTAAGTGAAAATAAACGGGTATAAAACTCCACAGAAAAAACTTCGTTTGTTCAGTGTCTACAGAAACAGTCTGAACTTTGACCTCTTATTAACCAGATTTTATTCAGTTGCAAAATTTATATTAAATTCTGTTAAAATAAAAATCCCCAAAATGATCTGTTAGAGAAACAAACTGCTTGAGGATTCTTCTGAATTCTTCAGAAGGTTCTGGTTTTTATTTCTGCTGCAGAAACATAAAACGGTCAGGGAGTTAAAGCAGCGCTGAGGGAGAATCGACGTGAAAACAGAAACATCAGATTCTGTTATTCAGCTTTAATCCTGGTTTAAACTCAGATGTTAGTCTGAAGCTGTGATTTTCTCAGGCTGATGTTTTTTAAAGCAGAACTTCCTGAATCTGAATAATCAAACATGAATCTGCATTTATGATCTTCTGCTCTGTTTTCAGCTCAAATCATCCTGGAGATGCAAAGCAGAACAACAGGCGGAGGATAAACGTTGTAACTTTATGGTTTGGCTATAAATACACAAAGTTCAATCAGGTAATCATAATAAGTCACATAAAAGCCTTTTGGTATTTCTTGGAAGTTAAAACTCTTGTTGGGTTTCATTACAGTCAGAGGAAACCAAAGCCTCACACAAAATGTTTTTCCTTTTGGAGATTAAAAATCACCACAATCCTCGTCACTTAGCAAGCTAAACAAATTATATTCAAACCTGAGGAGGAACCCGAGTCGCTGCCGATTCATTCATATTAAAATGAGATCCGGTGTTTGCCGAGGACAGGATGGAGGATCTGGAGGAGACGTAGTCACATGATCACATTTTACAGCTTAATTCAGCACCTATGTTACCTTTAGTTGTTATAAAAATGCTATAAATATTAAAATTAACTTGAAAAGAAACTTCCTGAATTAACGCCTTGAAACTGGGCCTCTGTCTCTTTAAGAAGCTCCTGCTGTTTCTGGAGCTCCGCCTCCAGAAAGTCACCCCAACATGGCTCCTCCATTAACCCTTTAACGTTTTTACCATCGTTGCTCTGAGCAGCAGCTCCTGGCAGGAGCTCAGCTGATGCTAATTGCTGCTGGCTAGTCTGAAGGAGCTGAGTGGGGGAGGAGCTGTGGCTGGAAGGCGGGGCTAGGTCCACCCAGGCGTTTACAGCTGAATGGTTGCCATGGAAATGAAATTATTTCTGAAACATGAAAGGATCAAAGCAAAACTGCAGGCTTGATTTTTATTAAATATCATTAAAATATGTAAAGATCAAAACTGCTGATTTTACATGAAACTGTCCCTTTAAAAAATGAATCAACTTTCATTTAAACACATTAAATTCATCCCAATAAAAACGTTTTGAAACATTTTTTTATTTCATAAACATTTTTTCATGGAAAATATTTCAGTGAATCTAAAATCATAAATCATTTTCTAGGTGAAAACGTCAAACTGTAGTGATGAAGATCAGAGCTCAGTTCGTTTCCATGGAAACATGCAAATGTTTATGGAAACTGTTTACATGTTATTAATAACCTTCGTGATAAATTACTGCTTATGAATCTGAACCAGTTTCCTCAGGTCGGCATCATGTAACAGGAAATAACTGAACTTAAAGTAATGAAGTGATAAAATGTCCGTTATGTTTATGATCCCATAATCATCAGAATATTAAGAGCCTGCTTGGTGTTCAGATGGATCAGAACCGGGTCTTAATGCAAACAGAACCAGGAGATGTCATCATTAGTTTATTGAAATATATTCAAACCCAAACGGACTGATCTTCTCCTGGAACTCCTCTTCGCCTGTTCTTTGTGGCATTCTCAATATTGCTTAAATGGTAAATAATTACTTTTTATTGTAATATAAACCCCAGTTTGATGTTTGCGTTGCAGGGAGAGGATTTAGAGGAAGAAGTCAACCTGCTGTTCCTGCTCATAGCCACCGGGGGGCGACGTCACAGCGCCATGTTGTGTGGGACTCATTCATTGGTTTACAGCCTTCAGTTGGATCTTAATCATTACATTTCAGAGCTTCACTCTTAAAACATTCAATATTTGATTATTTCGTGTTTTAATAATTTATTGTTTTCATGTGAAGTTCAGGTTGGGAGGAACTTTTATTCTCTCCTCTATGCTATTATAAACAAATCACACAGGAAACGAACTGAGACTTTATTCTGCTCTTCAGTTTTGTCCTTCGTCCTTTTTGAAGATTTTTCCGTCTAAAGTCATCCAGCTCAGTTTGACGTTTCCGTCCAGCTCCTGATCCTGCAGATTCTGTTTCAGCTGAAACAATAAAATAAACTAAAGTTTAGTTTGTTCATCATCGGACACATCAGTGTTCAGGAAACTAAATGTGCATGTTTTCCTGGGAGCAGCCGAAGAGTTAGAAAATCACTCAGCTGATGAACATGAAACAGAACCAAGACAAAAAGAGCAAAGAACCTGGACAGGAGGAGAAGTTAAAGCTGGAACATCTGAAACGTTATTTTCATCATTTCTCATAAAATCTGCATCAGTTCTGGAGGAAACATGAAATAAACTCTGACATGATGTTCTGGAGCCGAGATCCGTTAATAACTAAAGACGGATCGTCTCCTCAGGGTTTACCTGGTTCAGAAACCCGTCCAGCACCGCCGGGTCGCTCAGGTCCAGAGAGGAATCCTGCAGAACCTTCAGTCTCACCACCTTCCGAAAAATTCCTAAAGATTTGAACAAAACCGACAACCAATAATGACCTCAGAGCCTCATGATGCCTGACCCTGATAACTTGGACCTACATGCCGGTTGGTTCTGATAAGCTCGGTTCATGTAAGCCAGAGGTTGACCCGCTTCAGGCGGCCGGTACCGTCACAGATCGTCCTCATCATGGACGCAGTTCTGCAGCCCAAACCCGTTGTGTGACGGCGGCTGGGCTGCGGGCCGCTCAGGCCGCAAGTCTTGGGGAAGGAACCGGCCCGGTCTGGTTAGCTACCATGAGCTGCTCCGGAACCGAAGCGGACCGGACTGAGTACGGCCACAGCGGGTTTGGGGCGAACCGCTGCGGTGGTCTGCGGTAAGCCGGTCTCCACCAGGCGGGTCAGTCCCGGTGTGGAAACGGCTGTTTGGTTCCGGACTCAGAGAAACGTTTCGTCCAACAGGCGTCCCGGTCAGACTGGCGGGTCCGGGCCGGTGTTCTGGACGGGTTGAGGTCTGCCACAGCCAGCCTGGGGGACGGTGTGTGATGACGGCTGGGACCTGAGCGACGCCGCGGTTTTCTGGAGGGAGCTGGGCCGTAACCGGGCCTATGAAGCTTCAGGTGGGGCCCAGTACGGACCCGGAGCTGGAAGCTACGCTCACACCGGCCCCCAGGTGCCGTTGAACAGAACCTCGACCCGCCCGGAGCACCGGGTTGGACCGGTCAACCGGATCTGGGCTCCAGCTGAACGACACACCAAACATTCACTTCTTTACAGCTGAACTGAAATCAATAAACAGAAGTCAGTCTAAATCTGTTTGGCTGTAATGTGGCGTTTCCTACCACAGATGGCGCCAGTCCTGGTTGGAGCATTCAGAGAGGCTGACTTCCCTTCCTGATCTCCCCGGTTCCCTGGTCTAAGTGGGCCGAGGCTGCAGCCCAGCCGCCTGCAGACCACCTGAGGACCCAGCCGTCATCACACACCGTCCCCCAGACTTCATCATGGTAGACCTCCACCCTCCCAGAACACCGGGGTGGACCAGTGTTGAGAAAATAAATTTAAAATAAGCTAGTTTTAAAACTTAACATGTCTTGATTCAAATGGCCTAATTGTGGTTTTGAATTTAGTAATGTATTCTGGCTCTTTGACCTTTATGCTACCTGTAGTTACAGCAGATGGTTTGCTAGGATCGTTTGAACTGCCTTTTGTCTGTGGGAAAACAATACAGTGGAAGTTGTAGCTTTTCACACTCATCTGTGAAAGGCCGTAAACACGGCAGGGGTTTCTGGCTTGAGAGAGGGTCAGAGAGCTCCTGGTAGGATGAGCAAAGATACGCCTTATTTGAATAAATTAAAGAAAAGAAGATAAAACTTTCTACACAGAAGTAACAAATCAGATTTGCTCTTGCAATTCTCCAAAGACGTCTTTGCTGTCCCTATCTCTTGCCTCAGGTAACGAATGTATGTCTAATTTTCTGTTGTATCTTACACTTTGTTCCGATTTGGATTAAATTCTGTGACGTCATCACGCATTGTTGTATTTTTGTCCCACACGCGGGTTCAGAGGACCCGGGATCTAAACAGGAAGAAAGAGAGCCAGATTTTGTCCTAAATTTAATCACATAAGTTATTCTTCCTTAACATTTGGGGGCTCGTTGCCGGTTCCGAACTCTTGGCGGACGGCTGTGGGGACCTTGTTGATTCGTCTCGGCCTGATGCTGCGGTATGGTGAGGTGGTGTTTTGTCACTTTTTGATTGCCTGCAGCGCCGTTTCGTTTGGCTCTGGTGCATTCTCTCTCTTTGCTGTGTGACGTCACAGAAGTTATGGTACTCTCCGCGATGTCCTAAAATTCCCCCCGAAAAGAGCTCATAGTTAACGTTTTTTGATGAATACACACTACAGGGCTCAAGCAGAGATCAAGCGAAGTCTCTGTCGAAAGCTAGGCTTTGATTTGTGGCCTTCAGGAATGTTACTGAGCCTGTAAATTTACAAATTTATTCGGATTAATATTGTGTATTCTGGGTAGTTTTGGCTTGCATCAGTCAGGGAATTCTAAGCTCATTCCCGCCGGACTTATAATTAAACGGGTTAATTGGATCGAGTTGCATCACTCGTGAAAAAAAACTGAAACGGGTTGAATCACCCTTCTTTGGGACTCTGACTTGAGTTGCCATTAGTATAAAGGACTGACACACGAAATTCTAATTCGGTTGGGCTGGGTGTCGCCTTCTCCGCTGGGGCATATATTGTGTCGCTGGGCGGATTGATTGAAGTACACAGAAATTGGGGTTTTCCCTAGAGCATAACCCGGCTCTGAAAGTGATTGTGGTTTGGAGTTGATGGGAATTTCTTACATTGCAGTGGACATTTTTAGCCGGCTTCTGAATTTTTCCTCTCCTTCTGTTTTTTTCCGTTACCTGACGCTGCGTCTGTCTTCCGCCGTTATATGTTCCACCACGCGCTGCTGTATATTTGTCTCTGTGTCTGAGTTGTGTTGAGATTGTGCAGAAGTGATTTGTGTTTCACTACGTGTTATGTGTTTGTCTTGTGATTTTTGTGTTGGTGGATGGTTAATGAGATTATTTTATGAAATATTGTCAAATGTTTTTGCTGGTATTACTAACTTTCTGTTAAATTGTGCTTCTGTGGAACAGAGATTCCTTTTACAGATCTTGCAGTCCTTTGTTTCACAGCAGGAGACTGAGTGACCACTCCATTTGCATTTTGGGAGTTCTTAAGTTGTTCTGTTAACACCGACATTTGCAGCTCACTCTTTCAGGTTTCTTGGATTTTGATGTGACTTTCTTTTGAAACTGTGTTTTATGTTGAAATGAAAAGTACATAATACAGATGTTTCTACTTTCTCAGCGGGAGAAATGTGTGGCATCAGTTCCAGGCTGGAGCACTGGAATGATCTCATTGCCTTTTATAATGCTGTAACGTTTACAATCACTTCAATTCCTAGGTTTCCTGACACTGGTTGGAACACCCTCACTAATCTGAACGGGGACGCGGCACTGATACATATGGATGATGTTTTTTTCTCCTTGACAGTGTTTTCTACACTGTTAATGTAGGACATGTTGAAACGCTAATGAATGACTTTGTTTCTTGTAGGACGATCTTTGTGTGCAGCCCATTTTGCATATTACATGACCACATTAATGGTTTTTGGGGTTTTCCTACAGGGGGTCTAGTTACTGGATAGCCATTTAATAACAGTGGGCTATCATGAAATAAGGTTGTGTGTATAAAATGGAGTTTTTGAAATAGGTTCACTCAAAACTGAATATTAGAACTACTGGATAATTATGTTTCTTTCAACCATGGTGTTATAATAATTGTGTTTAAGACTTTCAACAGGACAAATTTTGGTTTGTGAACTGGGGAGATATGTGGTAAATGGAATCAGTACAAATTGGGAAGTTCTAACTTTATGGTTCACAAATTTCTTTATTTCACACAATGGAGTGTGACAAACAAATTACAGGTGAACATGGGGATCTTTTCAGTTGCTGTAGGTGAATTACGCTACTTAATGTGTTTGCCCAATGTCATCGAGGAGAATTGGAAAGTATATTTCTTACATTATAGGTCAACTACTGTAAAGATGCCTTCAAATACTGAGAATGGGGTCGTGTTCCTGCTCTCACAGCAGCGTTGGGGGCAAATCACACCTCACTTTGTTTGGTCAGTTTGATCTGGGGTAACATCCTGTATCTTTCTTACAATGAGGTGTTGATGAGTCTGCTTGAGTGTGAATGAGAGTGAATGTGTCTGCAGATGGCCTTTGATGTGTTTTTAGGAAGCGCTTTGTGACGTCATTTAGTGAGTAGCTGTGATATTTTTTTCTTATTTTAAACTATTTAGGGATAGTACAGGTTTTGTTTCATAAATTTACTTTTACTACTGCTTTACAGACAATTTTAAAGGTGATGATTGCATATTTTGGTATCACAATCTGATTTGAAGCAGAGTCATCTGCTTGTGCCGTAGGATTGATGCACACAACAGAGGCGGCACAACTTCGGCCTCGACTTAAAGCAGATATGAATTAGTAATTGAGAGACTGTCTCGTCCACTGTGGTATTTTATTTTTTATTTTATTTTTTACTAACACTTACTAACTGAATTAAATTGGTTTATATTTCATATGGGTAACTGATTGGACATGTTGAAATTTTAGCACAATGGGGAAAGTCTCCTATTTTGGTTTTCCACCTCTAAATTGTTTTTCTTTTTGAAATAAGAAAAACACAGGGGGGATATTATAAAGATAAGAGATTACTGATAGAACTTTGAAATTTAAAACATCCCAGTCTATTTTGAATACTAGATGGGTGATTTGGAGAAATGGTGGAACATGTTACAATATTTTAGTTTTTCAGCAAATTATATAACAGTAACAGATTCCAAATTGTTTTCAAAATGATAATTTTATTATATCAACAGGGGGAGAAGGAGAAGTAGACCCGAATTCCTGGTAAATTTTTGGATACGGTTAATTGTAAACTAGTTAATCAATAATATTAAGTTTTTCATTCAAAAATAGTGAATTATGGATTTCTTTAATGTAGAGTCATATTGCCTTCCTGCTTGACTAAAATATGGTGTATGTGATATAGAAGCTTCTACTAAATTAGATTTGATCATCTAAAATAGAACAGCTTAAAACAACATCTATGTCATCTTTATTTCATTTAAAATTTTTGATAGATTTCTGCATCACTGCTGACTTTGATTATATACAGTTGGGTGTAAATTGTGAATTTTGAGGAAAATTTTGGTTAAAACTGCTATGAAATTCAAATAAAATGTGAATAACTTCTGCAATTTTGCAATAGGACTTTGTCTTGAAACGTGGGACAATGATAGGATGTTTGGTATTTAGTAGAACAATTGAAATTCATAATTATTTGACAAAGTGCAATTCAATCACAACTTTTATAAGTGTTAGTACTAGGACATTCTGGATTTTGTTCTAGTTCTTTAATGAGTTTGTGAGGTTGTGATTTTAAAATTTGTAGTTGATATTTGGCACAAGCAGAGGGAATGTCATCGAGGTATTTACGTTTATTGATTTTGAACAGTAAGTGTCATTATTTTCTTAATTCTGGCACATCTGATGGTGGAATGTTTTAACACATTTCTATGTTTATTCTTTTGCAGTTCAGGATTTGAGGCAGTTGGTCGTTTGTGCTGTAACAATGACAAATCTAGAGCCACACGGGAGGATGCATCACAAGATAAAATAAAATTTTAATTATAATAGTGAAAGTAACGAAATGTGGCATACATAAGTTTTGACTTTGTATTATTTTTTTCTCTGGCAGTTCTTCCTTCTGACTTGATGGCGATCTTGGGGGCAGGGTCTTTTTAACTCAGATCATGGGACGGTGTGATTTGAAAGGATCTTCTTGATTACCACATCAGGCTGCTGTTGTTGCTGCTGAACAAAGACATGACGATGCTGAACTGTGCCCATCTTCTGCTGGACTGCTCTATGAAAGCCAAAAACTGTTGAACGATTACTAAGGTCAGTGAAGAAGGACTGTGTTTTCCTGTTGTCGCGTGGGGGCAAACTGCTGCTCACAGGACCTGGCAACAGATGTCTGCTTTGAGTGTTGCTTTTCACACCTGGCTGAAAACAAAAGGGACTCAGGCGTTATCTGTGAGAGTCCTCTACGGCCTGGAATCAGCAGGGAGTCGGGACCACAAAGATCAAAGCCTTTTGTCCAAACCCAGACGGGGGTTTCAGAGGATGACTGATCTGCTGTGTTTCTACGTCCTGCTCTGTCGACCACGAAAGGCTGACCAAAGTTCATCAAAGAGGGACTGTATCCAGATGTTTCTGCACTGCGGGAATGACTGCTACTCTGGACACCTTCTGATTCAGCAGATAAAGAATTGGGGCATGGACTATTGGAATTACAATAACATTCTTTTTTTAATCATAGCTGAATTGCATTGTGGGCTACGCTTCAACTACAAAGACGATTTAAATTTTATTTGGCTCATATTACAGGGGCTACCATTCAGTGAAAACTAAGTTTAAATTTACATGGAATTTAAAATTAAGGTGTTAAAGTGTATTGATGAGTGTCTATAGAGCTTACTGTGCTAATGACACCAAGTTCTGTGTTGATTTCATAAATTTAATCAAACATTAAATTCTTCGATTGAGGTGTGCAGATTGTAACAGCATCTGGGACACCATGTTTGAATTGCATCCAACTGTGTTATTTGATGCTAAAGTTAGCGGTGTCAGCAGGTCTCATCTGAATGAGTTGTATGGGATTTTTATTGTTTTCTATGACAGAACATTTGTTCTGTTATAGAAACAGGGGGAAATGAATGGAATTGATCTAATAAGCACATTTGTAGTTTGGAGCTCTCTTTACTTCTTGGCAAAAGAGGTTATTGAAGTTAAATCAAAATTCATTAAATATGAGTTAACTATTTGGATATGGAAAAGTAAAATTTATAAATTGAATACACCAAACTTAATATTACCTATCAAATAATTTACATAAAACAGTGTTTCTTAAAACAGGGAAGGTGATTGTTGGATTGTTGCATCTCTATTCATATGATTGAAAATAAGTTGTTTAACTAAGACATCCAGGAAGGTCTAAACTAAACATTTACATCATTTGTATCTAACTTGCTCATTTATTTCATGGATAATTTTGAACATTTATTTTAGGATTTGAATACTTTATATGATTTTGCTGTCTGATTTTATGTGCAATGAATATGCCAACATTTTAACAACAAATGTTATGTAGAAGGTTGCATGCAAAAAGAGGGGCGTAATTTATCAGCTATAATATGGTGTTTCTGAATTTAGGCTTATTCCATCGCATAGCATATTTTAAAATTATATTTTGGAGTGTAATCTCTATTAAGAGATTAAAAGAGGGAACTGTTGAGAAAATAAATTTAAAATAAGCTAGTTTTAAAACTTAACATGTCTTGATTCAAATGGCCTAATTGTGGTTTTGAATTTAGTAATGTATTCTGGCTCTTTGACCTTTATGTTACCTGTAGTTACAGCGGATGGTTTGCTAGGATCGTTTGAACTGCCTTTTGTCTGTGTGGGAAAACAATACAGGAGAAGTTCTAGCTTTTCACACTCATCTGTGAAAGGCCGTAAACATGGCAGGGGTTTCTAGCTTCAGATAGAGGGTCAGAGATAGCTCCTGGTTGGATGAGCAAAGATACGCCTTATTTGAATAAATTAAAGAAAAGAAGATAAAACTTTCTACACAGAAGTAACAAATCAGATTTGCTCTTGCAACTCTCCAAAGATGTCTTTGCATGTCTTTCCTTTTCTTCTTCTTTCCATTTATGTCAGGTAAATGAATGTATGTCTCCGTTGTTCTGCAGTTTCTGTGTAAGTTTATGCATTGTCTTATATTGGATTAAACTCTGCAATTCTGTGACGTCAACACGCATTGTTGTTTTCCTTGTGGCTACCCGTGGCCCGCCGAGAGGACCTGGGATCCAGAGGAAGAGAGAGAGCCAAACTTTTTCCAAAGTTAACCCATTTATATTTCTTCCTTAACACCAGCCAGTCTGAACTGGGCTTCTGCTGGTCCAGACCAATGAAACTGGTTTCATTATCTGTCAGCATTCCAACCTGAAGAGCAGCGAAGCAGATCTACACCACACACACTGAAATTTTACATCTAAAATGTTATTAGTAACATTTTAGAAGAAAACATGGCGGGCAAGCAAGAGCGCCTCCTGGTGGCGGTTTGAAAAGACAAACATCTCGAAGATTCGGTCCATAAAGAGTGATAACACCACCACACTGTCAGCTGCCGCCATGTTGCTACTAACTGTGTTTTTTACTTCTTTTAATAGTGATGGACCTTCTGAACCAGGCTTGAACTGAGTAAAAAGGGGGCGTGTCCGATGAAGCCCCGCTTCGAGGCTTGTGTCGTCTTGCTGAAAACCACGTGACTGGCAACAAACGAGGCCTCGCATTGCATGGATCACGTGACTGCTTCATGTTGCGTGTCAGTTTTCAAAATAAAAGCACGATGAGCCGTGCTGCTTCATGGGTTGTTGTCCATTTGGTCGCATCAGAGGATGATATTTGTCTTCAGTGGCCAAATAAAATGAACACTGACCAACATATTCGATGTGTATTGATGATGGCACTCATCAAAATGTTTGTGACTGGTTTTATCAATTGTAGATTATGTTGTTTTTTTTATAACTATATTTTTGAGATTTTATGATGTAAATCTCTTTGAACTGCATTGTTGCTGAAACGTGCTACACAAATAAACTTGTCTGAAATGGAGCCAGCAAGAGGAAAATCTGACATCTGAGAATACTTTGAGATTATCCTCACAATAAAATTCTTCTTAGATAACAATTAACCCTCCACCTCCCAATTTCTCATCTTCTGCAAAGTTCCCCTATTATTTGTAGTCTGATTAGCAAAGATATATCAGTCTTGCACAGCAGAAACAGATTTAAACTTGTTGCAGAACTAAAATTAAACATGTCGCCAAATATGAGGGATCAGAGCCAATTAGAAATCCAAGAAAAAGTGAACGTACCAACAGACACTGCACTCTCAAGACACTAAAACATCAAATGTCTTTATTGTCAAATCTGTCTATGACATAAAAGAAAACCCAACACAACCTCAGACCTTCAACATAAACCAGGATTAGATTGGCTACAAATAATTTTAATAATTAAAACATATGACATAATATGGTTTCATTGATTATCCTGTTACTAAACATGAGTTTGATGAAAACTTTGTGACAATATTGCATTTAGTAATTTTTGGAAGTATGATCCAACTGAGTGATAAGACTGTTACAGTTTCACCAGCAGATGTCACTAGTGAGTGATGAACCTTTTTGCAAAGCAAAGGGCTGGAAAGCTTCATTGCTTCATGAGGCTTCATTTGCCCATCACTAGCTGTTAACATGTTGAAGAGGCGCTCTCTGCTGCCCCCTAGTGTCTATCAGAATATGAGCTGCAGTTGAAACGAGCGCACCGAAAATAAATGCAGGTAAAGTTTCTGCCAGATTCAGAGCATCAGACATAAACCAAACTAAAGTCAGGAGATCATTTTTGTCTTTTTTTCAGACTGAATTCACTGCAGGAAGAAAAACAAATAATGTTTGAAAAATGCTGAGTGAACTGCGCAGCTTTGTAAATCTCTCCTGATCTCATGACTCAAACTGACCTGCTGAGTTTGATGCTGACATGAATCCAGTTTTCACAGAAGTTTTTATCTGCAGTCATTCATGTCGTCTTACCTTCACAGATGGCGCCAGCGTCTTCTGCATGTCCACAGTTATGGCTTCCAAATCCTCTGTGGAGACAGTCAGCCAAGCTGTTCTCGGTTCCTGCACAGACCACGTCGTCCAGCCAGATCGGGTCGGTTCCTTCACCAAAGTAGGCCATTATGGGGGCGCGCTGTGGGGGGCCGCAGCCCAGCTGCCTGCAGACCACCACGGCGTCGCTGACGTCCCAGCCGTCATCACACACCGTCCCCCAGACTTCATCATGGTAGACCTCCACCCTCCCAGAACACCGAGACGGCCCGACTAACCTGATCTGGGCCTCAATGACTGAGAGACACAGAGGAGAAACTGGAGACACGAAAACTGGAGACATGAAAACTGGAGACATGAAGACTGGAGACATGAAAACTGGAGACATGAAGACTGGAGACATGAAGACTGGAGACATGAAAACTGGAGACATGAAGACTGGAGACATGAAGACTGGAGACATGAAGACTGGAGACATGAAAACTGGAGACATGAAGACTGGAGACACGAAAACTGGAGACACGAAGACTGGAGACACGAAAACTGGAGACA